ATCACATAGTAACTGAATTACAGGGATAAAATCCTACCTACGATACAAGCTATCTACAATAATGAAATGAGATAGTGCATGTAAAGTTTATCAATGCCAGGCACACAGTTGACACTGAGTGTTAGTCATAACAATAATTTATTATTCATATTACGGTGCCCAGGCAGGAAGCTGAGCAAGGTCCTGGTAGGTAGGTAGCAGACCAGGACTCATACCGAGTCTGACTGCTCTGTCCATGCTCTTAATATTCTACCAACTACAATTATATGGGCACTACCGAGCCAAGCATTGTACTGGGCATTGGGGCTGGAAAGGAAAATAAACCTCCTCCCCAAGGTCTCACAGGGAAGTAGAGGCAGCCTGGGTGAGTGTAACCAGCTCCGGAAAGTGCTGGGATGGAGAGGCACACTGCATAAAGCGAGGGCATGAAGACTAGAGCCGCCAGCCGCTCCCGCTTACCTTGGCCTCCAGCCGTTGCTGACCCAAGCCCTCCTGAACCCCGTCCCTTCAGCCCATTCCTTCCAACCCAACCACTCCACACTGCTAACCGTCTGGGGGCTCCCCTGGGCCTCAACTACTTGCACACTGAAAGGCTCACCCGCATGGATCAGAAACCAGCACAAGGCCCTGAGGGCTGTGGCCGCTGGGGGCCGGTACTGCCTAGTTTGTGGTGACAAGGTTTTGGCATAAACCTGTGACTGCCACTGGCGTCCTGAGTCCCTCTGGCTTCTGCAGCATGGCCTCCTGTCTCGGCCCCAGCATTAGATGGATGGAGGAAGAGAGGACAGCTCAACAGCAGGGAAGTGGTAGAAACCTTCTACCAGTAAGAAGCCGCACAGCGAGACTGCTCGAGTGCACCCTTGGGAAGGCCCCCCATCGTCCCCGGGACGCTTCCTCTGGAGCCTCACTGTTGTTTACCCACAAAGAGGAACGAGGGAGCCCTCCTTATTTTTCAAAGAGAGTGAAGCCCAGATGTGGAGAATTTTAACTCAGCAGGGAGTATTTTCAATACCTGTGGGCAGCACCCTGCAGGCACAGCGTGCTGAGTTGGAGTCCTCACGCTCATCAGGCACAGAGCCCGGCCAGCCCAGCCCTCGGTGGCCACTGATAACTGCAAACAGGAACACCCTCGAAGCACTGGCTCCCGTGGCAAACCGCTCTCCCCCGGCTCAAGCCCAGCTGCTCACTGGACTCCAAACGATAACAGGGACGTGAGGGCAGGAGTGACGGAGGTCGGGGCTTTAGCGAGCCCCCTGGCACTGCCCAACCTTTACTACAGACTGGAGTCGCTATACCCCAGGCCACAGACTGTTAGAGGAGCAGAGTGGCGTGCGGGGTCCGGGGGACAAAGAAAAGGGTAGTGGTTAAAATGGGGGAATCATCTCTTGCCTTGTAAACTCAACCGATTTGATCCATGGGACACTGACGGACTATAAATATGGAACTGCATGATGTCACTTTTATAGGCATTTTATGAGTGTAATAACCAGGAGGAGGGCTGCCCAGGAGGGACATGGTAACCTGGGCGGGTTCTCTCTCTCTCTCTAGCCTCCTCAGGCACTGTTCACAGATCAATGATTCGCTGTCCCTAGTTATACGCAATATATAACTATAGGCATTACATATATATATGTAGTTTATATATATATGTAACACATCTATATGTTGCTTTTATCCTTTTGAGGAAGGCCAAAATGAACTTGAAGTCTTGTTTTTTTCTTTTTGCAGTTTTTATCGTTTTTATTGCAATCCACTTATACTCAATGATGCAGCCAATAGTACTATATTTGAAAGATGTAAATGACGTCTTTTTTTAGGTTCTTTTAAAAAATATTTTATATATCATGAAGAAAAAGAAGAAACTTATCAGATTCATTTTCTAGTCAGAACAGAACACTTGGCAACTTCTTAATTGAAAGTTGGGTCCCTCCACATTCTACTTACTCCTTGGAAGCCCGGTAGCCAGAGACGCCTGAGCACGTTGTCACCACACGTGAGTTTGGTAACGTGGAAACGGACCAATCCATCACGTGAACGTTTTCGACTGCTCCTGGCAGACAACACACCCTAACGAAATTCACCGCACACGGACAACACACCCCCACTGACGAGCACATTCAATCAACCCGAGGGCCTGGGCGATTCCTTCCCAAAGCCCAGAGTGGGCTTTGTTGTGCTGTGCAGTTTAACAAGATAAAGATGCGACCACGTCAACTCGAGCAGGGTGCCAGCTGTGCGTCGAAGCAAAAGTGGCCCACCGAGTCTTGTGGCTGAGGGTAGGGCAGCAAGCGTTCAATGTGATACCCAAAAGCATTATTTCCTTAACGGATGTGCAACCAGGTGCCTCCCCCAGCTCTGTTCTCCGCCTGCCTCCCGCCCTCCTTCGCTCCCTCCTCAGTAACCGGGTCTATTAACACCAACATAAATTATGTTTTATATGGTATATTAGAAAAAGCAGCTATACATATTAATCCTTTATGGCCAACTTATAAGACAGGATTTATTATTCTAAATGGCTATCTCTAATTTCACTGAGGCAGAAACAGAGTTTAAAAGGACTTGCCGAAGGTCACACACAGCTAGTGGCTGAGTCTGGGACTTGAACCTAACTCTACGACGCAGAGTAATCCTCTCAATTATATAGTATCACCTCCGTTTTACTAAAAGGGATGCACAGGGAGTAGAAAACGGCGCTGAAGATCACTCAACTGTACACACAAAGCTGGCACCTGGAGTCCGCATCTGTCAGGATAAGAACTCGACTCCAGTTAGGGCTGGGGGTCCGAGACACTGGCTTTCCACGATCACAGACCCTCTTCCAATCCGGGAGTGGACACAGGTGCTGATCATCGTTACAGAAGTGTTCATTCTTGCTGAAAACCTCATGTATTTTCTTAATTACACTAAGCACTGAATAACAAAACCAAGGCTATAAAAAATACCTGAAAACATTAAAGATTCCTCCAAAAGACTAAAAATCGTGTAAGTGAAAAGTGTCTAAATGTTTTCCTTTGTGATTTATTTTTTAAGATTTATTTCTCTTTAGAGGGGAAGGGAAGGAGAGAGGGAGAGAAATATCAATGTATGGTTGTCTCTCGTGTGTCCCCTGCTGGGAACTGGCCTGCAACCCAGGCATGTGCCCTGACTGGGAATCAAACTGCAACCCTTCGGTCTGCAGGCCTGCGCTCAATCCACTGAGCTACACCAGCCACAGCCTTTGTGACTTTTTAAAAGAACTGAACAATACCAAATTTTTCAGTGACCTTGAAGGAGAGCACAAGAGTTCATGCAATCAAGACAGAAAAAAACTACGTAAATAAACATCAGTGACAGGTCAGGTCAGGCCAACCTGCCCCCAGTGCAGTGTGCCGTTGAGGCAGGGTGTGGGCAGGTGCATGGCCAGCCGGCCGGCCAGGGCCAAGAAGCACACTCAGAATTAACGCAACATGTGTCAGAATTGAGCATTTTATAGAAGTGAAAGTACAAATCAGGAAATAAAAAGTGATTAGCCAAAAAACTTTGTTAGGAAAAAGGGGAGGGATCTCGAGTAGAATATCTCAAAATTTCAGATGGCTCAACAACCCCTTTTCAGTCATACAACTGTACACATATACGCACAGAAGGCAACAGAAGGGCACAAAACCAGATTCCTGGCGGCCCTGATGCATTTGCCGACAGGAAGTCTGTGGAGCGAGGGCTCTGGCGTGAGGAAGCATCCAAACTGGGAACATCCAAACGGGGGTTTGCGGAGTATGGAGTGGGGAGGGGGAGGAAGTGAAATGAGATGATAATGGAATATATTCTTTCTCTGTTTCTCAATGAAGGGGGTTTGACATTTATTACATGTAATTACAGTTTGTTTTACAGAAATTGAGCTCGGATAACTACATAGTAAACTGCTTATCGCTTTTCACGTGAGATGTTTCTTTCATCCTCTGTGGACTTTCCTCGGCCGTGGGCCAGGCTAAGTTGGGGGGCACAGGCCAGAGTATCGTCCGAACACCCCAAGATTGGAGTGGGGGGTCTCTTTCCTCTTTCACTTTCTGTCCACCTCCCACAAGTCCCTCCAGCACAGGTCGTCTGTCCCCTCCTCCCTGGAGTTAAAAGCAACCTCCATCAGATTGAAATGGGCAAAAAGATAAATCAACAACCCTCGGCTGAACACAGCTAAAAGGGAGAGAGAAATTGCACTTGGCTTTGCACTCAATATATCAAAGTAATTTATGTCATAACCACTCTGCCAGCTTTCATACATATTCAGTTTTAAATAAAATCAATCTCTCCAAACCAGTAATAGCTTTCTTTGTAAAGATCTTAAAAAAAAAAAAAAAGGGGGGGCACAGAGCCTGGCTCCACTGGGGAGAGGATGGTTTACTGGCCCCCAAAACCGCTCGTTCTAATGAGGTGTGGGGTTAAGAGACATTCCTCACACGTGTTAAGTGGTCAATGACCAGCAAATGCTGAGAATTAGATGGTTTAAGCTCACCTCCTAACCGGGCAGGAAAGGGTTCCTTGTGCAGATTTTTAGAGGGGCATCTCTGGAACCAGATGGGGTGGGAGCCAACCCTGGGAGATGGGACCAACTGCTGAGACTAGGAGGGTCCCACTTTGTCCCTCAGGGGAGTCCTGAGGACCCACGGGTGGAATGGCCACATGGGCTGTCTCGGGAGGCATCCTAGCTGGGAGAAGAAGAAAGGTGGCCACCGGGTATGAGCAGTTACTCACGGGGCCGTGATGACAAACGCTGTCACAGTGTGACTGCTCTGTGCCCGCGATGTCCTGCATTCACAGCGGCCCTGGGCAGTCACTGCTCTCACCTCCCCCAGTTCACAGGAAGGGAACTGAGACACAGGGAGGTTTAGTTGTGCCCCAAGGTCATGGAGCACTGAGTCAACAGGAAACGGCCAACCCGTTCAGTTCTGGGCAACCATCGGTCACCACTCTCCTCGCCGCCCCCTTCTTGCCTAATCGGTGCTGTGCGCAGTGTGCCCTTTGCTTCCCACAGAGGCACCAGCGGACGCGCAGCATCGTCCCTTTTTTATGATGGGGAAACGGAGGGTCCGGGGCTTGCCCCATGCCCATCTCTGATTCCACAGCCTGTAATCTTTCTTCAGCAGAGATTTTCCCAAGTGCTGATAAAACAGAGCAACCGAGAAATAGCATCTCACCCCCGATACCCCTGCCACTGATTCGAGATGCATGGTGCCTGCTCAGCGAGGGCCTGTGGGGCAGCGCTACCCTGAGAGAGGAGGAGACGGCCCCTGGAAGTCAAGCAGAGGCGAGCACGCGGACACGCCAGCGTCACAGTGGGCAGCTGCGACTTGCAGCTCCGGGCTGGGGAAACCCTCTTGGCCTCAGTGCTGTTGCTCTGCAGTGGGAACAGTACTCCTCACTCAGGAAGCTGGGGGATTAAATGAGACCATGACCGTGAACCTGTAGCACAGCGTGGGGAACAGAGCACTTGGTAAGTGGAGGGCATCCTCGCTGTTGCTGGTCATCTAGCCGCCCCCCCCCCCCAGCTTCTGGAACAGGAGGAAAGGTCAAGGGCCTGAGGGCTTGCTGGGGGTGCAGAGACCTAAGAAGGGGAGCAGCCCCGTCTCTGGAGCCGAGAGCACTGGCTGTTTTACTGTTTCTGGTGGAGATTCCAAGATGATGGCAGGGAACTCTAAATCCACTTTTAAAGTGTGCACCTCACTATTCCCAGTACCTGGGCTTTTGACAAACACGTCATCTCTCTCTTCCCAAGACCACAGAGTCTAGGCGTTTAAAGAGGGGTGCTGATAAGGCTCGTCTGTGGACGAGTTAGGCAGACAGGTGCCAGGCAGGCAGACACACCGAGATCCTGGTCTCTCTGCCAAACAAACTGATACGTAAGAAGAGGTCTGTCACCTGCTGGCTCTGGGGCTGCGGGCACACGGTGCCCAAGGGTGAGTCTTGACATTCATTTCAGAACTGAGCATGTAAGTGCTGGATTTCACAGCTGATGATTATCCACAGAGAAATACAAACATGGAGAATAGCTGGGAAGACCTGTTTCCCACTGAACTGGTGAGAGTCATCTCTGCCCGAGGCTACATTTAGCCCTTGAGAGCTGAAGGGTTAAAAACTGCGGTGAGGGCTTGCTCTGCAGTGTCATTGGAGTGAATGAAGCAGCACAGCTTCAACCTGGGGCTGGATCTCTCGACTCAAATCACCCGTCTCCATCACGTGGATGTGAAACCTCGTCTGAGTCCAGCGCTTGTAAGAGAGTGAAATGATGGGCCTAAGCGAGGTAATACATGGAAGTCCCAGCCCAATTCTTAGCACAAAGAGAGTAATCTGTGAACGGCAGAGTTTTTACCACTGCATTTCAAGCTAGAAAGAGTCTTCGAGAGGAACTAATCCAACCCATTATTTTCAGAGGAGGAGGCTGAAGCCAATAGAAGCGATGTAAAAAATTCCAATTAGATCAGTGGCTAAAATAGAAGGCTTTAAAAATAACAGAACAGGATGCTGAAAAATATCTTTGTGATCTTGAAATGGGAAGTCATTTTTAGACAAGATACAAAAAGAACTCTCAGAAAGAAGAAAGTGACCAGTCTGACGCAAACTTGACATTACGGGGGGGAGGGGATTGGGGCTACAAGGTGTCAGTGGGACCCCAGCCTGACACCTGGAAAGGGAAGGGCTGCAGACCGAGGCCCGCGAATAGCTAGCGATCCCACTGGTCACACCTACAGGGTAGAGCTCTGATAAAACGCGGGCGCCAAGGCCCGGCTGAGCTTCCCCAGGTAGTACGACTCTGGGCGTGCCCGGCACACGGCAATATGCCGGGGAGGTGACATCCCGAATCTGTGGAGAGAGGACATGGTAGCTTCTCATCTGAGACCCTCCCAGACCCCACGCCCAGGGTGTCTCTTCTTTTGACCAGTTCTGATTTGTACCCTTTTTGCAAAAATAACCCTCTAATCACACCTACAGCACTTCGCTGAGTTCTGTAAGTCGCCCTGGTGACTGCTGACGGTGAAGGGGTAAGGTGAACCCCCCGACCCACACCCAGTTACTCATAGATGAGGGTGACCTGTGACCCCCAAGTCTGAATCTAGGGTCTGAAGTGAGGACCACACCCTTCCCCTATGAGGTCCGGCCCAGCCCCAGGTGGTGTCAAACCTGCATCACCACAGCCACCAGGGAAATGGAGGCAAAGACAATGAGATGGGACATCATACCCAGGCGCTAGTACAGACTCCCAAAGTCTGGCAATATCAACAATTATAAAAAATGGGGGGGGGCAGGAACTCTGACGCCAGGGAGTAGATACGAATTTTGTGGAATGACTCTGGACAGAGTCTTCATTGAGTTCCCACCAGTTAAACCCCGAGACCAAAATATGAATTCCACCCAGAATGCCACAGCCAGAGCTCTGGCCACAGTCACAGACGTTACAGCAAACCCTTCCCTGACGCGGCTTTTCTGTTGCAAACAGCTCTCAGCAGTGATCTCGCTCAACTGGCAGAACCCTCAGGGAGGATGAAACAGGACCACAGGGAAAGGTGCAGTGGACCTGACCACTGGGCTGGGCTTCAAGGGCCCCCACGTGAACAGGACGTCCCCACAGCTCATCCTGAAGGACTGTGACATTAAAGTCGTGGACGTGCTCCGAGCCTCCGTTTTCGTACCTGCAACACAGGAGTAAGTACGTGGCTGCCGCCTTCGGACAGTTGTTGGCGTGACCATTACCTAAACGCCAGTCAAGATTCATCTTAGGACCTGTGTCCGTGTTTGTTCCTGTGTTCATCCTTCACTCGAACTGCAACAGGCGCCGCAGACCCAGCTGGGGCTCCCAGGTGCGACTCCAAGGCACGCAGTGGCCCCTGGTCCGTTGGGTTGTGGACTCTGAGTTACCACATGAATGACAATGCTGAGCTGCAGGCAGGGGGCTGCTTGGGGACATGACTCTGCTGTAAGTGTTGGGAAGGATTCAACCAGCATGTGGAACAAGGCCAAGTTCACCAGGAAGGGAAAAGGGAGGCAGCCTCTGAAGGCAGAAAGGGTAAAAGCAAAGGCACTGAAATGACCTTGGCTAACCAGCATTTTGCCTCCTTAAAGAACCAATGCTAACAAGGCCGCTCACCTTCATAGTTTTTTAAATAGTTTGGAATACTCATTGCCTCTTAACTACAGCCAAGGCCTAGTTTATTATTATTTGAAGTTGATAATTTGTGTATCTATGGTATACAAGTATATAACTTTGTCTTACACGCAGAGATCCTAGCCTGTGACCTTTCCTTTCTCGATCGGCAATGCACCGTGAGCATCGTCTCTCCACATCGGTGCCCGCGGACCTGCCTCCCTGCTCCAGCGGCCACAGGGCGTCTCACTGCTGCACCCGCAGTGATTTATTTAATCCATCTCCTACGGGTGAGCATTTACATTGGGAACGACAACCACACAGAAATCATCCATCAGTCCGTTTTTTCACAATTATGCAGATACTCATGCAAACAAGCTGTTACTCCAACCCCACGGGCCTGTTGCTGCTCCTGAAATAAGCCGAGTACACTCCTAGCTCAGCCCTTTCCTGTTGCTCTTCCCTCTGCTTGCCAAGTTCCCCCCCCCGCCGCCGAAGATTCCACAGCTGACCCTCACGGAGACCCCGAGAGGTCTTTTCCGACCTCATCCTCTGCAGTCCCGCAGCTCCCGCTCCTGCTTTGTTTCACTAGACCACTGGCTCGTGTCTGACAGTGTGCATTTTCTTGTTTACTGAGTGGAAGGCCGGGACTTTGATTGATTCACGTCTGTGTCCCCCACACGTAACAGGGCCTTGGCATGCAGCCTTCAGAAGATAAATTTTAATTACTGAAAGAATGAATTCCTGAGTGTGTGGGAGTGCTGGATCAGTGGAAGCGGGGGTTTCATGCTAACAGACAGGACCAGGTTGTTCCTTTGGAAGTTAATACTCTCACCAACGTTGCCTATTTTGCTCCTGCGTGCAGACCTGGGTTACATCAGTATGGTGAGTTTGGTTGGGTTTGATTGTTAATAATTCAGTGGTTGAGTTTGTTCCCTAGTTTTGTTGGACTTTGCGTCTCTGGTTCAGTGCATGGCTTTTCCCTATTGAGTTCATTCTCATTTTCTTATTGACCCCTTGCTATCAAGTGACTATTAACTTTTTGCATGACAAACAATTTTTCTAGCCAACGATGTTGGCTTCCACATTTCACAGAGAATGTCTCAGTGCTTTGCGTGGTCCCGTCTGTGGGCCTTCTGCTGCGTGTGTTCCCTCAGTGTGGGGCAGGGCACAGTGGTGGCTACTGGGCCGGAGGGGTCTGTGGGCAGCGAGTTCACTAAGTCACCAGAGGAAATGATGGGGTTCCAAATGGAGCCATGGTCCCGAAGCGGGGCGAGGACAGCGCTGTCGCCGTCGGGATTCGACCATTAACTCAGTGCGCGTTTCTGCCAGTCTCTCTGTTCCAGGGTCTTCCCTAGTAAGTGAAAATCAAACTTGTTACACTATTAGAGTTGTAACTTTAAATGACGGTCCCTCCGACGGCTGTGCATACCCCTGCGACAGAGGGAGTGTGTGTGCTGTTTGTTGCTCATTAGTTTGGGGACCGAATATCAAGAGTTACTTCTTCCTTAGGGGTTCTTACTTGTCCTGAGACCTTGCTGTTCATGTGTTTCCAGGAGAGGCGCTTGGGCCTATTTCAGACTCGGTAAGTCACGGTGGTTAGCAGCCCCTGCTCTTACTGCCCACCGGGCACTGCAAACCCGGGCTGCTGGGGCCTCCTCCCTCCCCCGGACCGTGAGTGCGCCGTTACAGGGAAGCGTGCAGCACACTTCTAAGCTTGAAAGGTGAGCTCAGCATGTTTAAGTCAGCCTCAGTATGAAGACCAGGGTCATTTTCCACACTTAAGTACCCATTTATTTCATGTGATTAAAACTCTTAACTACAAGAACTGAAGGAAGTGTCTGGGAAGGATTAGCAAATGACTATTAACATTCTGGAAGCAAGGTTCTGCATCATAATGGGCTTTTTAAAACGTCATGTGTCCTTTTTGAACTTTTCAAAAAGCCTCAGTTGAAAAAATGGTGAAATTTACTTTTTTCACATGGTTTTTAGAACTATAATTCCTTCCTTGTCTGCCGGAAATATTTTGCCCCCTCCCCCCAAACCTTGGAGGGATGGGGTTTTCTGAACCGGTGAGAATTTCTCCCCCTGCCCGGCTGAAGGGATGCTGGACTTGGTCCTTGGACTTCTCCCGACTCCTGCAGCGCTCGTGCCTCTGCCCGCTGGCCCGGGACTTTCACAGTAAAGCCTCCAGGGCCTGAGTGGACAGGGACACACTCAGCGGAAAGGGACAGGGCGGGCGGGGTGCTGAAGGAAGGGAACCAAGCCTTTGCCCAAGGAGAGCCGGTGGGGGGGGGGCGGGCGATGGGACAGGTGCGTTCGGGTGGGGGGCTGGAGCTGAGGCTGGCGAGAGACCGTGGGGCTGGCACAAGAGCAGCTGGACAGAGCTGGCCCCAGGGAGTGGGAAGGCTGCCTTCAGAACATATTGTTTCCTCCAAGTGTAACACGGCCGCCTGGCCGTGACCATCAGGAAGTGAATGGACATTGACATTCTCTCCTGAAGACCTTGGCTCTTTGATTAGGCTCCTTCCAATCTGGCACAGGTCACGTGTCAAATCACACAGTGGCCCCAAACTTATCCAGGCCACTCTGCCAACAGTCTACAAGGGCGCTCTGCTTGTGCGTGAAGGCTAAAGGGGAAGAAGCCATCTCCTGGCACCTTGGCCTCCCTCCTGCCCCGGGCAGGGGTTGCAAAGGCAGCTGCTCACAGGTAGGAGGGGCTCTTCCGAGTTATGCCGACAGGAACGTGGTGGTAACACGGGGCTGTGTCGCCGAGATCCCTGAGCCAGGAGCCTGGGGGACGCATGGGGTCCCACGTGTATCTTAACAGAAGGCTGTTCCTTCCCCTCATTTCACTCGGACTCAATTGTGAATCAGAGGTGAGACAATACAGAAAAATATATGAAGAGAGGAAAAATAGTTATTTTTCTGTATATTGTATTTCCTATATATTTAGAAAAAATATACACTTAATGTAGTTTATTAACATTATATAGTAACATTTTTCCTGTGACATTTCCTGCTCCAGTAAGTCGTAATTCTCTGTACCTACCAGTCTCCAGTTTGAGGACGGTATTCCGCCCTATGACCTCGGTTTTCTAGGCTCTAAGAGATGTTGGTTTTCGATTTGCCAGCTTTTCTTGTGTCCATGTGAGAGATGACTTCCAAGCTCCTTTCGGACTGGACTGGGAAGTGGAAGGCTGTATTTGTTTATGATTTAAACAACCCTGTCAGTCAGAAAGGGGGGCCACATTATGCCCGATTTAAAGACGTGAAAACTGAAGCAGAGAGAACTACCTCAGTGGCCAACAGCGATGCCGGTCACTTCTGCCTGGGCTAGAACGGGGTGTGGGTTTCCGACAGGCACCTCTGGGAGCTGACACAGCTGCCTGTCACCTGCTTGTCAAGTGACACTATGCAAGTCATCTACGTTCTCTGGATCTGCACTGCATCTGAGAAATATTTAAAACTTCTTTGTAATGTTTTATTCTGTCTAAATAGTGTTTATGTCCCTCACAGGTGTCAGTCAGTGGTGTCTGCCCACACCTGCAGCTTTAATCACCTTACACTTGGACGTCACCGAGTCTCCTGGATGTGGAGGGTGGGGAGGTAGGGCTGGTGCAGAGCCCGTCCACCCAGCTGTCCACGTGTCAAAGGGCCATGATGCTGGGCACTGCCTGGCAGCCCTGGCTTGCTCTCTTTTTGAATCATCAACCTTCTCATGTCACCCTTCAAGGTCGCAGTGAGTCTTCCAGTCTGTGATGCTCAGTCCCCAGATGGAAGCCAACAGAAGTTCTCTCTGCTGTCAGCCCAGAAACACGACGCCTTTGACAAGTCTTCTTCTAAAAACAGAACTTGCCATTTCCGAGGAGCAGTGGAAGGGACCCTTGGAGCCGAGCGCCAGTTGCCGAGTGTGGAGCTCACGCCCAGACGATCTCAGAGTGTGGGCGCCAGCTGCAGGCTGAGCTGGGAGCCCCAGAGGACACGGGGGCGGAGGCTGAGCTGGATGCAAGAGCAGGTGCTGCTGGGGCCTCGTCCTGACTCTGCTGTTCGGAGTTGAGGCTCTTGGCAATTGGCTCGCCCCCAAGATTCAATCCCCTCATCTGTGAAATGGGGACGGCAAAGTCAAGCCCTGGGGCTCTGCCGATATTTGAGAAAGTGCCTAGTTGTAAAGGTACGATATTTGTACGTGTGTCTTCCTCCATGGCTAGTACATGCTCGCTCCTTTCTCCCTTCCCTCCCCACACCCCTCCTTCCTTGTTCGATGCATTCCTTTATCACCAGATGGTGCGGGTAAGACAGGGCTAGAGCAGACCAGGAAGGTCTCAGGGAGCTGCCTCCCTCCATCAGACACAAAGTTTGGGACCCAAGGTGGGGGGAGGGAGGCCAGCAGAGTGTGTGACAGGTCACTGGGGCCAACTGACTCCAGAACTACTGCCTGGATGGAGGATCAGGAGAGCAGGGCCAGGTTATGCAGTTTGGGGCAAGTCTCAGCAGCTGGCTCAGCTTCTCCAGCCATGAAAAGGGACCAACTACCTTAACTTTGTACATGTAATTCCCAAGAATCATGAAAATCAACGCAGAAAATGCTTTGTTTTGTTCAAGACAGTAGAATGCACTGTGCAAAATGACGTTCTGTCACTCGCCCCGGTCGGGTGACAGATCTCTGACCTCATCAGGGAATGGCAGCACAGGCGGCCGACTGAGTCGGTCCCACCACCCGCTTCTCCAACCAAAGCTGAGATGAGGCCCCAGTGCTGTTGGACCCACGGGCTCGACTGGAGTGCAGGCAGTGCTCGCGTCCCTTATCTTCTCCGCGAGAAGGTGGCCCAATATTAAAAAAACTGTCTATGAACATAACGAGCAAACTGAACTAACCAAAAATAGAGACAGACTCCAAGATGGAGAGCAGGATGACAGCTAAGGGGGAGAAGACTAGGGTGGAGGGACCGAGGAAAAAGCAAAAAGGACTCATGGACACGGACCACAGTGTGGTGACTGCGGGGGGCGGGGGGGCGGAGGAGGGTGTAAGGGGACTAAATGGTAATGGAAAAATACAATAAAAAATAACTGGAAACAGAAAAAAAACCCCACCAAGTGCCAACACTTGTCTAGAAACCCAATACTAATTTATCTGAAAAACTCAGTTTCTGTTATTGCCGAAATGACGTCACCTGCACCTGACTGAAGACACTCTCCCACGCTCTCCGTGCGCATCCCAGGTCACATTCTGATGGACTGCGGTGAGTGGGCTTCGGTCGCCCCGTGCCCACGGGGCTCGCTAACTTCTTCCTCTGTCATCTGTGCTTTCTGTAAGCAAGAGCCGGGTCTGAGCACTTGACTGGGTTCCAATCCAAAGGTCTGGATAAGACCACTCTGTAGATGGCGTCATGTCTGCCCGCAGAGGACACGCGTATGTCCTGTGACATTAGCTGCCACAGATGTTCAGTGCCCTGGTCAGTGACCAGTGACTGTCTGAAAAGTGGTGATACTCCTTTATCACCTTTGCTTTACTTTTATACGGAAAAACTCTCCCTCGTGGCTGTCTGGTAACTCACTGACTCAGTCATAGAGAAAAGGCAGAATGAATGTCTGATTCTTCCCCTTCGTCGTTTTTCAAACCATAAGTAGATTCACTGACAGTTAACAACAGGTGACCTCCCCGGTGTTGGTGGGTGTCACTGCAAACTCCAGATTTAAACGGACTGGGTGTCTCGCTCCCCTGATGCCCCCTGTTATTGCTCAGATGCCTGTCTCCAGCCAGTGGGGCCACTTCGAGTTGGGTCCTATGTCCTTTAGATACCACCCTAGTGACCTCCTCATCCTCTCATTTGAAATACACATCAGGCTCACCTTCAACATTTCCAAGAAGCTCTGTGTCCTTCTGTGAGAGACAGTATTTTGAAACCTCAATTCGGCCATAGGAATGCTTGTGGCCCTGGACTGGTGACTCCTTCTGTCTTTTCAAAGGGCTGGGCTAGGAAATACTTTTAAAAAATGAAATGCATCAGCCTGGCTGGGTGGCTCAGGGGTTGGAGTGTCGTCCTGTCCACCAAAGAGGTTGCGGTTCAGTCCTGGTCAGAACACGTGTGTAGGTTGTGTGTTCGGTCCCTATTCGGGGGGGGGGGGTGCACAGAAAGCAGCCAATGGGTCTCTCTCTCCCTTCCCCCGCCCCAGGAGCCTCCCCTCCCACCCTATCAGAAACCAATAAAATATATATACACACACCTCTTCCCAGTTGAGAATTAAAATATATTGCAAATACATAGTGCTAGTTCTGATTCAAATCCCATGCTTCATGGTTTCTACTTAGTCTTCCTAACTCACACTAGTATCTCTTTTCTCCCATGCCGAGCATCCGTTTGGTTGATTAGATTTAAAGAGATAGTGTTGGGACACCAAAGAACTACTCGTTGACTTTGTCACACAACATGCAAGCAGGAGTCCCAGAGTAATAACAGTACACCACCGTCTGTGACTCCATGGCCTGGACACGAAGCCGCAGCGATTCGGGGGACAGGCTATCGTGTTTGTAAACCTCCCCCACCCCATACTCCCACCCAGGATGAAACACCCCCCCCCCCCCAGGCTCAGCCTCTCTCCCCGAGCCTTCTCTGGAGGGAGTGGGCATTTCCTCCTGCTCCTTGCGGGGAGAAAGCTCCTTGTTAGTCTCAACGGACCCTTCCCAGCGACGGCAGAACTTGTTCTCCCAGCTGCTCAGCGTCCCAGCTGTGTGCTGGGCTGTGTTCACTGGAGGAGCGATCGCTGGAGTCACGCGTCTGCCTTCTCCTCGTCTTCCGTCTTTGACACTCCCACGGAATGTGAGGGCAGCCGCAAAGGCCCCGGTCTCCCGGGCTGGCGGCCCAGCTGTCCGCTTTCCTCCCCGCTGCAGATCCCAGTGCTTACGTGGGCAGCTGGACCCGAGTCTACCTGAATACCGTCAGTCTCTCCCCACGAGTAACCCGAGTGTGCAGGTGTCTGGCTCGTATCAGACAGGGAGAGGCAGGAAGGACGGCGAAGGGGGCAGGACGAGAGCCCCGTCACTGCTCAGAGCCCGAGCCGCACACTCTGGCCTCTGCCACACACCGTGTGTCTCTTCCCCACACCCTCCTGAGCCGCAGTCGCTGCCCACGTTAAAATTTTAATTTCTGGTACTTACAGATAACACATCATATGTCACCATAAGTAACGCCCCGAAAGTGAAAGCTAATTATTTCCCAGGACACATGATATAAGATAACCCTGAAAAGTCTGTCATAATAATAAAAGATACAATTCGTTGAGTCCTTGCTACATGCCAGGCATTGCTCAGAGCATTTTATAGCCACTGTCACATCTAATTCTCACAGCAGGAGTGTAAAGAGGTGATTATTCCTCCTACTTAAAGGGGCAGGACACGAAAGCCCAGAGAGACCATGCAAACTTTCAACACTGCACAGGTTGGAAACAGTGCAGCCCGGGGCCCCGCCCAGTCCACATCATGGCTCGATGGGGTCCAAAAATAACAGGCCTCACATTCAAACCAACCGGCACATGGCTGTGCGGAGTCTGGCAGATGGAATCACAATGCCGGCCCAATTACCAGTGACGATGAGGAAGGAGGACACGGTGACCAACAAGCTTCATGATGCTACACCGAACAGAAGCCGCCCCCCCTCCAACAGGCAGGCCCTCGCCACCCTATCTATGCTCTCTACCAGAGGGCCCGGGTAGGAGGGTGTCTCTTCGCAGGTGCACCCCCAGGTGCCAGAGAACGGGCCAGGGCCCCTCAAGCCCAGTGCCCAGTGAGTAAGGGGCCAGCAGTATGCGCTCAGGAAGTCTTCAGGAAGCAAAAGGAGGGACAGAGAAATAGGCGACCCCCCAGGAACACCCTGGGGCCGGCTCTCTTAGCCCCTCGGGGATGAGGCACATCCTCTGGGGATGACCTCACCTCTAACACCAGCCACTGTCCCACCAAGGGTCACTCTGGAGCCATAGACGGTGGTTCCGATTTTGCCCCCAAAAGGTTCGGAAATAGTCCAAAGAATCAGTTTGTTATATAAGCTCCAAAAAACCTTGGCGTGTAAGCTGAGAATACACTCCTGATCCTTTTCCACCCTCCGATCGGGTTCAGGCAAACTGAGTGATGCAGTTCATTGTAGATTCTGCGGTAAAACTGAACAACGGCAGGAAGACACTCTGGTAACTTCAAACTGATCACACAGAAATGTCCCGAAGTTGAAGAAAACTATTTCCATGATCATATCGGTAGGAAAAATATATTAAACTCCCGAAGTAAAATCCTTTTGCAATATAAACCTGAAGAATTAAGATCTAAAGAAATTAAGAGCCAAGTGAAATGACCTTGCCTTTGTAAACCACACATCTACAGACTACTGTCCACGAGGAACCCGGACCCCACGTTGGTAAGATACGGTTGCTGGGAAACGGCTGCCAACGACACCGCCCTTTCATCTAAGTGTGACCAAATACTGGAGTTCTGGCCAATGACATGGGGACAGGAGCCATACATGTGCCCACTTCCAGGCCACCCATATAGAAGCCTGGACATGACCTTCCACTGTCTCTCCCACTTCTCTCCCCTGCCTGCTGGGGACTGTCGCCAAGCATGACCCTAAAGGCCGTCCCCCACATTACCACAGCTCCCACCCACCTGTGCTCCCGCATGGCTGCCCGGAGCAGTCATTGTCCATCCCCACTGCCAAGGCTGTCTCATGTGGCAAGTCCAGGGCTGGCTTGTTATAGCAGCTAACATTGACTTAGTTACCGGAAGGTAAAAGGAAGTCAAAGGCTAAAACTCAGCACCCTCACTTCTATCAGACCAGGTTCAACCTCAGCCCAGACACTTGCTCAGAGGCACAAGCACAGCTGAGGCTCCTTCAGGAATCCAGGCTTGGCAGCTCAAGGATCTGCTCAGTCGAGACCACAGTGAACACATCTCTGCTGTGCTTCATTGACCAAGAGACCACACTGGTAATAAGACGTACAAGATCATCACAGCCCATGAAATCTGGAAAACAAACAAACCCCCAGTGCTAGACAGTTTTGCCTGGCCAGATGTTGTTCTTAAGAGTCACTGCCACCAAAGTGGAAACTAAAGAAGAGATGTGGAGGAAAAAAAGGGGGATTCAATAAAATATCATCCTGGCCAAGTCGTTTGTCCAAGTTATTGTTCAGTCTGATGAGGGTTGCTGTCCAGCGTTCGTGAAACCAAACACAACTGGGAACCGTCTCCCAGAGAGGGGCCGACAGAGCTGCACTGCCGTGTCGGGAGGGGCCCCCGCCGCTCACTTCCTCACCTCCCAGAGAGGAGCGTTTGACAGGCCGCCCCCATTTAGCAAAGTCCCCAACTGTGCGGTGGTGCCATCCTGGACATCAGCTCTTGCTCAGCATGCCCTCCCTTCCCATCCTGCGCCTTCAAAACTCCCCGCGTCTGTTTCCCGCCAAGCCCTACCCCCGGGCACCCCTGGCTCAGAACGAGTCAGGTGCTGACGCTGTTGTGAAGTCACCCCGCCGTGCCGTGGGGGGCTCTCTGCTCCCACGTGCCCGAGGTGCGTGGCGCTGCTTCCTCACTGGAACTGCCTAGATCTGAGCCGCCGACTTCTTAGGGCATGATTTTCCCTCTGGCTCCCACACTGTTCCCACTAGGGAGTCGTCATCTGTGGATTTCTGCACAGAAACTGCTACTGACATCACTGAGGCCCCTGTCTCCAAGGGCACAGGGTGGACAGAGACCTTTACGAGGGGTGGGGGGTGGCGGGGGCTGGAGATGTTGTCTCCCTCAGCTGTTCAAAGCTCCTGGTCTTAGACAGCAGTTCTTTCTTCTGCATCTTCCTGGATTTCCTCTGTATGTGGGCACACTGATGCTAATTATTTCCACCTGCCACTCGCCTGCTGGTTCATGGGGACGCATCGGGGGTTCTGGGAGCTTCGCCTGCCTCACCCATTAGCCCCTCTCTCTCTAGCAGACGCGGG